TGGGCTGTGGAAGGGGACATGGGTAAAAGTCAGGCACCTACCAAACCTCTGTGGTCTGAGAGGAAAGGCAGGCAGGCAATGGAGGCTAAAGTTTAGACTGAAGTCTGTGGTACAGAGGCAAGCAAGAAAGCAGATGACTGTGCAACGTTGCAAACAACTATCATAAACCATGACAAATGTAAGATTTTACCACGTGATTTCCATTCGCTCCATGTCTGGAGGTCACCACTTTAAAGCTGAACTGTTAGAAGAAAGAGTGTCGGAACCCCTGGACTTCCTGAAAGCAAAATCAGTTGGATTAGTTGAAGCCATTGCGGACAATGTTTTGAGGTACATGTCTGCCTTTGCACTGAAAAGGTTTGGGAAGTTCTTGCCTGATCTCATGGATTCTGTACCCTGAGGACAGTAACTTCTTGTGCAGGATAGAGCCACCCTCTGTGGGTGGTAACAATCTTAGCCCATTGAAGAAAAATCTAACATGAGTCACAATCACACAGCACCATTCTTGCCTGGAATTCAATTTATACCATGCTCAAGGAAAGATGGTGATTCCTGTAATTTTAACATTGCTGCCACTCGAGTGGTGGTCCTGGGCTTCAGGGAATGCTGATGCGAATGCCATTGCTAGGTTCCTTGGGAACAAAATACTGCAAAAGTGTGGAGTTGGTATCTCAGGAGATAACATGCTAGCATCAAGTCAGCCAGTCTTATATCCCCACGAGTTTTCTCATAGTACCACTTTCACAAGGCATTCTTCCAAAAAAAAAAAAAAAAAAAAAAAGAGCTCTAAAGCCACCACAATTCTCCTGGCTCAAGAAATTAGCACAGGACTCAACAGTGCTCCTGAGGATTCCAGCTCAGACCTCCCTAGCTATCTGCTCTGTTCAGGAGGAGATGGCTGAGATGGTGCTTTCCCAGGGGGCTCCTGATGTCAGTGCTGACATCCCGATCAAAGGCAGCTCTCAGGAAATGGTTTTAATCAACATAGCTGCACAGCTCTATGACAAATTCCTCTATGTACAAAACCAAATATGTGCTACAGTCCTGGGTTTGGCTGGGATAGAGTTAATTTTCTTCCTAGTAGCTAGTACAGTGCTGTGTTTTGGATCTAGTATGAGAATAATGTTGATAACACACAGATGGTTTTAGTTGTTGCTAAATAGTGTTTATACTAAGTTAAGGGATTTTCAGCTTCTCATGCGCTGCCAGCAACTTCAGCTGAAGAACCATTAAGTTGAACAGCAAACACCGCCAGCCTGCCATGAGTGAGCTCACACACCTACTATACAAGAAGGATTTTTACAGCCAATGGGAGTTTTCAAAACAACTCACTATCAATTCAAGCTACCAAGAAACGAACGCAGCAGGGATGCAGAGTAAGAACTCTTTGGCACAGCAAAAACAGACACAAAGGGGGTCAAACCAGACAGACCTCTGGCTGGGCACTGATACGCAGCATTGTGTGGAGATCCTATTCCCTGACCTGGGACTTGCTCAGAAAGCATCAGTGGCTCAGGAGGGTGATTTATCAGAGTGCTGGTTACTTTTAGTAACGTACTGAAGGGTGGTACAAATCACGGTGCCTGGCATAGTAAATTCAGTTCAGTAGGAATCTCATCCTACCTGATGAAACTCTTTCACAGAAGAGTGGTTCCCTTATGCCACTCTAATTTACAGCTCAGAAATATCAGTTTCACTTCAGTTGTCTGTTATTTTTCATCTCTTTTACTTTTTCTGTTGCATTTAGACTGCGAGCTCTTTAGGGCAGGAACTGCCTTGTGACTTCTGTTAAGGCTATATCTATTAACTGATTCTGTGGGAACATATCCAGGCCTCTAAGTGCTATAGGAGTGAATTGGAGAAAAGGAAAAATTATTAAATCCCATGTACCATCAAAGCAAATCATTGCAGAATAAAGTTTTTGGTTGAGTGTTACTTCTCATTATTATATATCTAGTAATAGACATGTAACAAGTTTCACATATTCAGTAATCTCCCATTTCCTCTTCTTTATAAACTTTCAAAAGCCAGAACAAGTGTGTTTCCAGTGTCAGAACTCATTTAAATTCAATTTCTCTCTTTTATTTTCCAAAACAAGATTGTATGCTCTTAACCTGTGGTCTAGCAAGAAAAGGAAAAAAGGAAACCAAATTGAAAAAAAAAAGAAAGGAATAAAGGGGGAAACAGTATGAGAGACAGCAGGATTGCAAAGAAACATAAAGAAGTGGAGGAATAAACGTAACAGAAGTAAGGGAACCTGGAAGAATTTGGGGTGGGATAAAAGACGAAAAGTGAGAAGGGGGGGGG